TTAATTGTATTGATATACTTCTAACTAAGTCGTTTATCATGTTTTTAAGTATCAGAAAATAATAATGAAAACCACAGATAATGCATTGGAGCATGCTACCTCTCTCGCCATGGATTAGAGCATGCTATTGTTATGCTCATCAAGAAGAAACTCATCAATCACTTGACTCTGCTGCAAAATTCTCAAGAGAAAACTTCCAGCTTTGTCATCAAACATCCGGCTCTAATCCACTTGCAAAGATGTGAAGACATGAAAACATTCAAAGAAATTCACGCCCACTTCATAGTTATGGGCCTCACCTATCATCCCTTCACCTCAAGCCGCCTTCTCGCCTTTTGCTTTATAAACTCCATGGATTATGCCATCAGGTTTTCACACAAACCCGAAGGCCGAACCTCTTCTCCTTCAACACTATGATCATGGATTTCTCTCTCATCAAGTCCCCTCAACAATCTCTCTCTTTCTACATTACAAATGGAAAAGAGTGGATTTGTCCATAAATCACACGAGGGACCTAACGTTCCATACTAAATTTATAGACTAAGTCATCCGGTGACTGGCTACCTTGAAAGTCCTCTTGGTGAATCTCCTTCACCTTTCGTTCTATCATTCACTCTCTTTTCTAGAGGGGCTAACTTCTTTTTATAGAGAACAATTTTATTTAGTAACTCGCACATTTATGGTCTATAAGAGTTGAGATCCAATTGTAACTCCTTCTTTAATTCCCTTAACCGAACTGTTAATCCTATGTAATGAGCTAAACTTGTCATTAATCTACTAATGACTCATATAATAGGATGCCATCTAAGCATTCTCACAATTTACAAGGAATCTAAACACACCATTGCGTTTTTCCTCCAGCGATACTGGGTTTTTTCCTCCAGTGATACATCCTATTAAAGCTAAAAAATGGATCCATGTATCTGGCATTGTCTCATGTTAACCACATGAGATTTCACATATACTTCAATATGACTTTTATACCATTATTGAAAAAAATGAATTTTTGAGAAAAAAAGAGCCTGATAGGGCACATTTCACACATGATCCGCGGCGGCACGCCACTTGGAAAGGTGGTGATCGTGAGTTTAGAGCGAGGTTTCCATGGGTCATGGTTATCGATCTCACTCGAGAAACAATTTTGTTTACAACTCGCTTGGTTCATTCATTTGGCAAGTGGTACAATTTATAGCATCGAGAGGGAATTTTTACTCCTCGTTTACATCAAATCAGAATAAAATGTATATATATATATATATATCAAATCCTATTTTACACCTTATTAAAGAAAAATAAATGAACACTAACATCTTTCCATCTCATAAAAAAAGCAAAGGACTAGTAAAAAATTAATGAATAGTAAAATTTTGCAGCACTATCAAGAAAAAATAAATGAATATTACTTTACTATTTATAGATAAAATTTACTATTTATAAAGTAAATAAATAGTATTTACTTTTTAAAAAGTGAATAAATAGTAATACTATACAAAAAATCTTTTCAATGCTTTACCTCACCTTCAATCGTTATCAAATAGATCTCTTCTTTCAAAACCTCAAAATTGTACCCCTTCCCAAATGAGTGAAGTAATCAAATTGAAAACAAAATCACCTCTTAAGTGGGATCATTCTTTTGATGCGTTAACCTGAAAAACCTACAATGTCCTGGGTGTCATATTTCACGGGAGAGAGGGTTGTCCAAATCAGAGTCAGTTAGCTTCTTTTTCATTTATTATTATTATTATTATTTTTATTTCTTTTTATTATTTTTAACGGTACCAAGTCTTTTCTTATTACTCTAACATACATACCGGATCATATAGTTTTTGTACTTCCTCTCGTCAAAGACTTGGGCGTAATTCTTTCGATGTGAAATTTTGGGATTCACATTAGAATCACTACCAAATGAGTATCTTTTAAATAAAATTATGAGTTGGTAAAAACTTAGATCTAACTATAGCCATGCAAAAACTGGACTACTTTTATTGCATATGAGGATGTGATTTTTTCCAAGCACATAGAAATAATGCATATATATTTGATTTTGAAGTTGGTGCTTGGGGTTGCATGTGCTTTGGGGGAGCATAGAATCCTTTGTCTTATGTGTGTTTTTGGATATATTTATTAAAAGGGTGACGTTTTTATGAGGCATTAGCCTTAAACAATCAAAGTAAAACACATATGAAAACCATATCAAACACCTGAAAACCACGTCGAAAGACGAAACTTTCGTGTTGGAAATGTTTGCAGTGACATAAAAATCTATTCACTCTTAATTGTGAATATAAAGCTCCAAAATTGGTACTGCTGATCGAACAGATTCATAAACAATTAAAATTTTTAAAAATAAATAATTAAAACTACATTATTTTATCCTTTTTTTTTCTGTATCCGTACATCTCGAAGTCGAGATGATCAATTTGAGGGGTTTTCCAACAATAAAACAATATTTTTTAATGGGGTTTTTAGGTGTGCCTTACTTTTATAGTATAAATTTGACACCTTATGTAAACTTTTCCTTTTTTTAAAAAACAAAATCACACAAGGCACTATTAGATAACACTTTTAAGGAAAAGTGTACAATAAAGATGTTTACCTTTATCATGGGGAGGCAATTAGTTAAGTCATTGAACTTGAAATTAGCTTGGCATGACATTGGTCAGACTCAAAGCCTAATTTTTTTTGAAGTTTTTGACATACATGAAGCTATCAGATTTCACATACACCTAACCACTAATAATGATTGTAACGCCCTAGCCACTAATAATGGTTGTGACCTCCTTATGTTAAAGATGACTGGTTTTATATTTATAGGGTTGTATACAATGAGATCATTTGTCTTTGATATAAGGTGGTCACAATTCCTTACAACCATTTGATATGCAATTTGATAGTTTGGATGTATCATAAAGTTCAAAAAAATTTCTTTTGAAGTTTGAGCTAGGTCAATGGAATAATTACAGCCGCCCAATTTTACATCCAATGGTCAAGATTAATGTGTATTAAAAGTCAATGGTCTCTTTCTATACTTTTCCTATATTTATACTGTCATTTAATAATCCATCACGTTTATTTACCCAAACAAAAATCCATAAGTATTGACCGATCTTTTTTTATGGTGGGGGAATAAAAAAACGGTGCGGTTTGTATAGAGCCTAGGCTCTAAACAATCAAATTAGAGTCTACCTTCAAATAGTATCAAGGAATATGGTTTCAATACTGAAAATATTTGTAATAACCTTAAAGTTTGTTTTCATATTTATTTATAAAGTTTAAAGCTCAAAAAATAGTGTAGATCGATAGATCTATGAAAACTTGATAATCTTGAAATTTGATGGTCCAAAAATACGTTACAAAATGCACTATTTTCAAAACTGGAAATCTATTTTTTTCTCATGTCCATGCATCTTGATGTCGAGATGATCAATTTGAGGATATTTGAGCATCAAAATGGCCTCTTCTAGTGAAATTTGTGAGGTAAACTCAAATTTGATCGTTTAGCCTCGGCTTTATATAAACTTTTCTCACTTAAAAAAGTGATGGGATTATTATGGACATAGATATGACCAAATGTGCGAGACATTGTACCAATAAAGTCTACAACACAAAGGACAGTATAAAATGCCCGAACTCTATCATTGAAACAAAAAGTTTATGTAAGTGTGAGGCTCTAAACAATTAAATTTGAGTGCACCTCAAAAATTCCACTAGAAGAGATTATTTTGATGCCCAAATATCCTCAAATTGATCATCTCAGCATCAAGATGCATGGACATGAGAAAAAAATTGGATTTCAAATTTTGAAAATAGTGCATCTTGTAATGCAGTTTTGGACCATCAATTTTTTATCAAGTTTTTATAGATCTGTTAAATCTATGTTATTTTTAAAGCTTTAAAATTTATAATTAAAAATAAAAATATATTTTACAGCTATCACAAATATTTTCAATATTAATATCACATTTCTCAACACTATTTAAAAGTGAGCTTTATTTTGATTGTTTAGAGCCTTGGCACTATACAAACAACACCCACACCCAAATTCAACTCATTATCATTCCTCAAGCAACACAACCACTCCGAATCACCTGAGAAAGACTCAAGAGTATTATTTATGAGTAAATAAAGATAGGGACTTTAATTATTAATCTTTCATCAATGAATCAGGAGAGAGACCCAAGTGACAGACATGGATGGATGCGAGAGAGAGATTTTAAATATAGATTAAATCAGGAGATAGCCCAATTGACAGACATGGAGTAATATATTTGTGAGAGAGAGAGAGAGGGAGTGGGAGTTGAGTGTAGAGAGAGGGAGATGGGTCCTTCCCCCTCATGCATCGACCCAAAGAGCGGGTTCTGCAGAGAAAAGGGCACATTCTACAGCCTCCGGCCCACGCCCAATCTCCTTCCTCTCGACCTCGCATCATATATTTTCTCTCTCATCCCCAACCCCCCTCCCTCCTCCCCCGCTCTCGTCGACGTCTCCGCCAAGTCCCACATCTCCTATGGCGATCTCCGATCAATGGTCTCCTCTCTCTCTTTCTCTCTTCAATCCGAGTTTGCCATCCAAAAAGGCGATGTCGTCTTCATTCTCTCTCCATCTTCAATCTATATCCCAATAATCTCTCTCTCCTCTCTCTCTCTAGGAGCCATTGTCTCCCCTTCCAACCCAATAAACACCAAGTCTGAGATAGAGCACCAAATCCAAATCTCTAAACCGGCCCTCATTTTCGCTCACTCCTCAGTAGCTCACAAAATCCCAGCCCAAAACCGAGTCATCTCGATCGATTCGCTCGAGTTCCGCCGACTCATTGAATCGCCGAGATCGAGCCCGGGAAGGGTCACGATCGATCCAGATGATCCTGCAACGGTCCTCTACTCCTCTGGCACGACCGGTCGAGTCAAGGGCGTTGTTTTGACACAGAGAAATTACACTAAAATGCTGGCGGAGCTATGGTCATTGAGGATCGAGAAGAGGACGTGCTCATTCATTACGGTGCCGTTATTCCACGTCTACGGTTTCGCCTTTTGCTTGAAGGCGTTGGCGTTTGGGGAGACGGTGGTTCTGACGGGTGAAGGAAGGTTTGAGGTGAGGTTTGTGTGCAGGGCGGTGGAGGAGTGGAGGGTCACGAATTTGGTGGCGGTGCCGCTCGTTTTGGCAGCGATGAGTACAGGTGAGGAGGCCGAAGGTTTTGATTTGAGTAGTTTGGAGGCGGTGATCATCGGCGGCGCGCCGCTTGGAAAGGAGATGATCGCGAGGTTTAAAAGGAGGTTTCCATGGGTCATTGTTGCCCAGGTAGGTAGGATCTCAACTGTTGCGTGAAATCAGTGCCCTAATGTTTTGTCATTTTCAAATGGGTTATTACAGTAGGGGTGCGATAGCCCCGTGGCCCACCCAATCGGGCCGTTCCTGAAAACGGTGGGCATGAGCTACAAAATGTGCCCCCTGAGGATCGGCCAGGTCCTGGCCAACATGGTCCGACGGCTCGTCAGCCCTGCCCTGATCGGTCCTGTACTTTGCCCTTCGGCCCGGTCCAGGCCAGCTCTATTGTGACCTAGAGAGGGCCGAAACCTAGGTCAGTTGGGCCAGGCCCGCACTGTTGCCGGCTCTAGTTATACACAATATTTTTTTTATTCTGTAAAGTTATACACAGTCCTCTCTTTGCCGTCTATCTCAAATATCAATGGATAGTTGATGTGCCTCTGGAGTGCGCGGCCTCCATATAGTTTTATTTTTTATTTTTTTCTACAAAAACGTTTTGACCATAAATCAACCCTACTTTTACGGATACACATATACCCTACTTTTACAAATACACATTTAAAAAGGGGTTACGTAAGGGTGCCAACACAGTTTTATAATTGTACTAAATAAATTCTGTATATTTATATATCTTTATTTCATAATACAACATTTTTTTTAATAAAAGAAGTTTTTTTTGTTCAATAAAAGAGATGTGCCATCGCTACACTAATGGTGTATAATGCTCCAAAGTCTATGTGGATGATGTCACATCTCTTTGAATGATCAAAATAGCCTTTAGTAAAAAAAAAAAAAATTGTATTACAAAACAAAGGGATATTATTGTTCAAAAGTGGATGATGTCGCATCTCTTTGAATGACCAAAATGGCTTTTAGTAAAAAAAAAAAAAATTGTATTACAAAACAAAGGGATATTATTGTTCAAAATTTGTTGAGTATAATTATAAGAACAATCATTTCACACGGGTTGAACCGTATTTGTACAATATGCAACCAGAGGTATAAAGTATCCATCTTAAAGATGAATGCAAATAGGTGGTCCATCTAAAAATAATTGTAACTAATGGTTCGAATGTTTTCTTAATATAATTATTAGTTTTAGTTTTCAAAACTTATTTTTCTTTTCATATTCATGATCTCCATGTCAAATATTATATATTTTTTAAAAATCAGGATCAAACTATATTTAAAAAATATATTTATTGCCAAGGCCATATTTGTACGCGGGCTTGGCCGCATGCTAACTACGTCCTAATTATAAAATGCTCTATGAAATGAGCACCCAAATATAACCGTTTCAAAAATAGGAACAAAATGTTTTATATAAAATAAAAATAAAAAGTTTATATAAGGTGTTCATCTTATACTATCGAAATAAAGCCCACCTCAAAAATTATCTAAAAACTGTGATTTGACACCGGAAAACCAACCTCAACACTTATGGAGATCTCTTGAATATGAAAAGAAAACAATGTCAAGTCTTAAAAATAGTACATTGGATAACAAATTATTTGAACCATCTATTTTCAAGATTTTCAAGTGTTTATGAATCTACTTGATTTTATTATTTTAATATTTAAAATTTCATAACTAGGAATAAAAATATATTTTTAAGCCATCCTAAAGTATCGGACACTAAAATTACATCTCCAAACAAAAGTTAAAGGTGCACCTTACTTCTATAGTATAAGAAGCACACCTTATACGAACCTCATGGTGGATCTCATTTTATGTAAAATTTTAAATTTGATTTTTTTTTTTTTGGGATTATGTATTATGAGATTATTTACTTTTAGTATAAAGATGTCACAATCGATGTGAAATTTAGTAGATTGATGTGTGTCAAAACTCAAAACATTCAAGAGATTTTATTTTATTTTAAAGTTTGTACGCAATTAATAGCACATCCTCAACTACCCGATTCGGCTATCAATAATAACTTTAATTTCTTTATATAAAAAATAAATGGTCTCATTGAATACACTTCTTTCTTCCTCAAGATGGTAGTATTACGATCCATATGATCATTTGGACAGTATGCTCAAGGACTCATGGGCTGCCTGATGGCGTCCCCCAAGACCTATATTAACCTTAGTGGTGGGACGGACACTGCAGTTACAATCGCTGCTGTTCACCCAATGACTGTATGGTGATGATCCATGAGAGTCATGTGTTTGAGATATTGTATTATGATCCACGTGACTACGGTAACCTATTGTCGGGAATGGAAGTAATGGATGAATTATCGATACTGACAAGAAAAGGGAGCCCGTCCACATGATGTGGACGGGGTACCATTCACAAGGCTATATCCAGTAGCTCAAAATTAATTTCAGTATTTTATCCTTTTTTTTATTTAAATAAGACATTTCTAATTTTGAGATGTAGGTTCATTTGTATAAATATAACTCCATAAAAATGATTAAAAACTATTTCAAAAAAAGATTAAAATACCCCTAAATTTATTTTAATCAATATTGTTTATTTAACACATTGTATAATCTTTATTCAATTCTATGTATAAAAATATAAGTTACACCACCCTGGTGACACTTTTAAAAAGCTCTACTTGAAAAAACGGTTGTCTTCCCTACTAAATTACCCAAAAAAAAAAAACAGTCAATTAAAACCTAAAACAACTTTAAAAAGTTAAACCTTACTAAATTACCCCCCAGAAAAAAAAAACGTCAATTAAAACCCAAAGCAGCTTTAAAAAATTAAAACAAGCTTAAAAATTTAGAGAAAAAATGGATTTAGAAAAGCCGATCTACATTTTGAGATATTTCAAAAAAATCCAAAAAGAAAAGAGAAAAATATAAAAATATTTATTATAGCAAAAAATAACACTCACCAATCTTTGCAAATGCACCCAAATCATAAACAAAGCGATTATGAAATAATCCAACATTTTTTAAAAAATTTAGAATTTTTTGAAATTTTTAATATCCTCAAGTTACGACCAAACTCAGAGAAATGTGGAGTCGTGCGAGTCACGGTACACTGATTCCATGATTTAGGTTGAAAAACCCAAATATTGAGGAGATATATCTTGTTTCTTAAAATCACCATATTTTGGATTTATTTTGTATATGGGTTATTTTGGTAATCCACTTTTTAATATTTCACTTAAAAAATGCTAACAGCCTAACACATTCCAATTTCAAAGCCCATGTCACACACAAAAAAAGAACAGGGTAACTGGCAGTTATTGTTTTGGTGGGGATATGGATTTTGAGAAGAAAAAAATCAAGGAAAAAATTTATATAAGGTTGCAACTTTAAAATGTAGCATTAAAGATGCACATCAAAAAAGGTTGTTTTAATGTTAAAAACCATCTAATTGATCATCCCGACATCCATATGTATTAATATGAAAGAAAAAAAAAAAAAATATTGAGTGCCAGGATGGTACATCTTGCTGCACATTATCTAGATCGTCCATTTTCAAGATTTTCATATGGTTATAGATCTACTTGATTTTAATCATTTTTAGAGTTTAAAATTTTATAAGTAGATGTGAAAATAGATTTTCTGATAATCCTAAGAATTTTTTACACCAAAAATACATATTATGATAAATTTTGGAGGTGATAAAATTTGGAGGTGTGCCTTAATTGGATTGTTTAAGGTTGCAACCTAATAGAAACCACACCCAAAAATAAATACATGAAAGTACAACGCATTCAAGGTTCAAAGCCGAGCTTACATATTCAAAAAAAAGAAGAGCAAAACTAGTCGTTGTTGTTCTGATGGGGATATGAGTTTTGAGAAGAGAAAAGAACAAAAACACTAAGTGGTTGTTTTTGCAGGGATTTGGAATGACAGAAGCTGGAGGAATATTTCAGGCTGTGACTCCGAAGAATGCATGCGATATGGGTCATGTGGTCGATTATCAGGAGGCTCTGAAGCCAGGATTGTAGATCCAAACACACTGCAACGCTTACCTCCATGTCACATAGGAGAGTTGTGGCTCAGAGGAGCCACTATCATGAAAGGTGATCATCTCTCTCCTTTTTGGTTACTTAGATCATGATTTCGAATTTAGCTGAATTTGAAGTAAAATTGGTGGAATTCCAATGTTTCATCTTAATCTACCTGGGATTGTTGGCTTGAGTCCAGCACCAAATGTGGTATTTGCGGGAAGTTTACTGAATCCTAGATGAAGTTTCAAAAGACATTCAGGCAATTGTGGCTATTTAGACCTTCTATACTTCAAATTCAGCTGAATTTTCATGAATTTTGTTATTAGACCAATTGCGAGGATCAATTTTAGCTTAAGATTTAAATTTGGATGAATTTCAGCTGATTCTAGATGGTTTACATTCAATGTGCTACACTTATTTTGTTGTCACTTAGCTGAATTTTGACAAAACTGTTGGTTTTTGTCTGAGATCAGCTATTGCAAATTGGAATGCACTCTTTTGATTATAACTGCTTTATTAAATTTATTTAGCTTGCTAGTTTTGTCCCTAACTGGTCGATCCAGGCCAAAATTATATTTCAAATTCTGCTTTACCTCTCTGATTTGAGTTTTTCAAATTTTATTGCATATTCTATCCAATTTTCATGGGACCCCTCAAAAATTTCCTTTTGCTCCCAACTTTTCCCTAAGACATGTGAAGTGTTTAAATTGAAGACTGGTATACTCCATAATTTGGTCAGTGAGCTGGGAATGCAAGATGTTAGCTACAAAAACATTCTGGATATGACATCATTTTTTCTATGAATTTAGGCCTGTTTTTTAAGACAATTAGGAAACCCGTTATCAAGTATTGGTGCATTGATGTAGCCAAGAAAACAATAATGGTACATAATAGGTTTGAGCCATGGTACGAATAATATAATGCAGGTTACATAGGGAATGAAGAAGCAACAAATTCTGTACTGGATTCAGAGGGATGGCTAAAGACAGGAGATCTCTGCTATATAGACGATGAAGGCCACCTCTTCGTGGTTGACAGGCTAAAGGAGTTGATCAAATACAAAGCATACCAAGTAATATTACTTGCTAGATGCTCTCTCTCTCTCTCTCTCTCTTGATGCCTTATTCAACCCATGCATGCAGGTTGCCCCTGCAGACTTAGAAGACGTACTACTTTCTCACCCGGAAATTGCAAATGCTGCTGTAGTTCCGTAAGTGCAGAACTTCCTTTCTCTGTCCTTCCCTATAGGTGTGCTTATTTTTTCCCTTAAGATAGGAGTTACAATGAAGAGAACCTAACGTATATCCAGCATCTATTTTCCGGTATGTATGTATATACAAGTACAGTAGTACCTCTCAAAATAGATATTGTAAAAACATATATCCTCTTAAATCCAATCCGATCCCTTTCCTCCATTCTGCTTCCATATAAGAAACAAATGACCTCTCAAATCTCATAAACAAACAAAATTTGCAAAAACAAATCTAGTCTCTTATGTGAGAGGGAAAATTTATATTGTATCACCTTATTTTGAGAGGAAAGTTTGGATTCAAAATAGAATAAAACAATATATGTATCCAAAAATTTCTAGGGACCATCTCTATGAGTTGAATGTTTGGTGTTTTGATCAATCATCCACCATTTGTATTTGTCAATGGGCAGGGGAGATAAGTTGTTCTGCTGCCAGAAAGAATGGATTAAAAGCAGGGCATCTATTCGTCTACACCATCTGTTGATAATTACAGCTGATGGATGGCACGTCTGAGTACCTAAAACTATACTCGTAATGAATATAAGATATGTCCCCGATGTTCTAGCCTTTGCATCACATGGCTGTATTTATATGAAAGAGGTGCCCTTAGTCATTTTTTGAACAGGTTGCGATACATATCTTTGTTAACATTTTTAAAATAAATTTAGCATCTCCTTAATTTCCTTTAATATGAAATTAGTACTATTCTTTTTTTAAAAAGCTAAATACTCCCGCTTCTCAAAACAAATTTTAGAGAGGCATTACTATATGTTTGTATTATCGTTGAAATTTATCGCTTGTATGTACTTCTCTGCATTACTATATATTATCATTGAAATTTAGCCCTTGCATGTATTTCTTCCCCTTGAAATATTTATTTTTTATTTTTCTTTTATAATATTCCACTTAAGAAAAGAGGTGTATTTATGTGCAAAGCATATGGAATGTTGTATGCTCCCATGCATGTACAAAATCAAGAAAATCTTCGAAATCCTCTGTATTAGAAGAAGTGTGGGATAACTTGTAACCGTCTTTTCTTCCAGATAAATGGAATAGCTTATCTTATCCAATTAATGACACAATCTGCTCTGGTACTAGGAATTGAATCAAGGTACTTGATACTTCTTTCATCTTTTGAGAAAGAATTTCACCCTTAATGACTGATAATCTTGATCAGAATCAGGTAAACATATATACATGAAGTCGTGATTGTATTGTAATATGCATTGACACCTATAATTCAGTCGATATGGTTCTCACCATCCATCAATGCATGATGTTCTTCGACTCAGTTGCTCTAGACAGTGACGACATTATTGATTGTGAACCCATACTAGGTTATCTACACATAGGGATGGAAAGAATTGCACAAAATTGAACAATCTTCTTATGCAAGTTGGGATTATTTAGATACTATGTTAACGGAAGCAATGACAGTGAATGCCCTGGAAGAGTTACGAAATATTCAATTTGGTGGTTTGCAAATTTTTATATATAAAATAATTTCCTCTCTTGTAGTACTTTCATGCTTCTATTTATATTTTTATTCTACCTTTTTAAAATAATATGGAAACTTAGAACACCCTTGTTAAGGACCCAATCTCCTTGAAAGACTCATTATTTTTTGTATTTTGGAAAATGAGAGACAATTCCCTCCCTAAAATAGTGTTTGCACATTGGAGGTCATTTTAGTTTTTTTCCTGAAAAATAAAGAAAATCAAGAGAGCTGTTCCCAATTCGCCTCACATTTAAGCCTGCTACTGCAGACCGTGTATGTGTACTTTATTCATGGTGATGCTGATGATGATGATGATGAATTGGCAGGTATCCTGACGAGGAAGCTGGGCAAATACCCATGGCATTTGTGGTTAGAAAGCCCCAGAGTTTCCTTAGTGAAGCGCAAGTTATGGACTTCATAGCAAAACAGGCATTTTTCTTAACCTTAACACTAGCTAATTGATTTTGGATCCCCTACATTCTTGTTCTTCTTGATCTCTATGCATGTGTGGTAAGCTCAGATTAATCAAGAATTACACTCTACCTGTATGTTTTTATTTGAGCATGTGTAAGTTAGGTAACATGGGCAAGGGTTACAGCATATGTCGAAACTCAAAGGATATGACAATTGTATCAAACTTTAGAATACACTTTTACTAAATTGTTTCCATTGAAATGACTATAAAAGCTTTTAATAACTTAAAGTCCCTCCTATCACTCCTTCAAGATGATGTACAGATTCTTGTGTCCTGAACAGGAAACTTAATTTTGGTGTTTCTATCCACATTAAATGCTAACATAGATGCAGTGAATGTGTACATCCCTTTATGTGTTCGTTCATAACTTGGGGATATCACTTGTGATTACATGCTTATGTTTTTGTCTAGGTCCCAAACTTCTTTTCCTTCTCAATGGGGATATTTCTTTAACATTGTTTATATGACTGGGTGCCCTGTCTCCTGTCTTTTCACAAAAATAATAGAAGTTCAGCTGAGTTCTCTTTTTTCGGTTCTTTATTGGATAGGTTAAGTTCCCTCTATTCGCAGTCTCGCTTTTCTACTTTCTTCTAATGTTTAACGTTAACATTTCTTTTTGGACAGGTCGCTCCTTACAAGAAGATTCGGAGGGTAGTGTTCACAAATTCAATACCCAAAACTCCTACAGGCAAACTGCTTAGGAAGGACCTCATTCAACGTGCTCTTGCAATGCCTGCTTCCAAATTGTAGTCTTCTCTCTGATCATATTGGAGAACTTGCATCATTTGTGTGAGAAGTAAACATGAGTCCGGACTTACCCAAAAACAAATAAATAAGAGCCCAGGCTTAAGTGGTTAGTACTTGACGATTTGTGATACTATGTACTAGGCTCAATTCCTATCAAGCGTAGGGGCCCTCTCCCCATTGACTCACCCAACAAAAGAAGTAAATACGATGGTTTCTTCCCTGGTTGGCTTAGTGGCAATATGTGGGTTTTAAGCCCTTGGCAAGAGAGGGGATAACGACAAGAATAGCAGATAAAAGATGAAACATGACATGGATCTAAAAGGAAAGAAACAAGGCAACAAAAAAAGAACGTTGGGAATGAAGATGAATGGAAAATTTGGAATCTCAAGTGCAAATAAAATTAAATAAAACTAGCTAGTGGTTAGGGTGGGTGTTGCGCGAAGCTATAATCTACAAAAAATATTATATTTATTTCATAAATTTTATTTTCTTTACATTGTTTTAAAGTATTTATGTCATGATAATGCAATCATAGTTCAAACTAATTGGATATTCAATATTAAAAAGTTCCTATTTAGAAATAAATTGAAGGCATAGTTGGTTAGGGTGGTGGGTGCCACAACATGAGTTGCATTCTTACCATGGGTAGGAGATCTCTTTCCTATTAATCTACTAAAAATAAAATAAAAAGTCCCTATTTGTAATGTTATGTTATGACAAACTTTTTTAGATGTTAAATTTTAGATATTTGTTTCAAAACGAAGTGTGAATTTGAAACAAGAGATTTGGAGTCTTAGGAAAGGCTTCATAAAGGAGTCCCACTTTCCCCACACTTTTGTTAAAGATATATATAGATTTATAAACTTGGATGAAAAAAGTGAAACTCTGTATTGGTGATTGATTCATGATGTTTTGCTGGGCAAGAAATTGCATTGGCGACTGAGTCACATGCATAAAATACTGAGCAAAAAAACTTGGAAAGTCATGGCCGTGAATTTTGGAAGGTTGATAAGAAGTTGGGAAGCATGGTTTATTGTTCAATAGTTTTCTGATATATCCGCAATGTGAATGGCATTGCTTATTATTCAATTGCTTTTTTATCATATCCATATGGCACAAGGGTTGCTGATGACTTGTGGAGCTGCAATTTCAACCATTAAGTTATGGTGAAATCATATCTCACAAGATCCCTTGTTATTATTGTATTGGACACGGTTTCTATGAGTCTATGTATAAATGGGTCTCTTCTTAAAAATTTATTTTCGAGATGTATTTTTTGACCTAAATTGTAATGACAGATAACCTCTACAATGGAGATCATGAATATCAAAAAATAAACAGATTTTAAAAACTAAGAATAATAATTTTATAAAAGAAAATGTGGACCATTAGTTTCAAATGTTTTAAAATACACCACCCATTTGCATCCATCTTAAAGATGAATGCTTTATACCTCAAGTCATGCAAATGTAAAACTGCGTCCCCCGACACATTGGAACAATTTTGGTGCGACTTTTGTGTTTTTTATATGGAAAAGAAGAAAGTGTACGTTAGAGCCCTTCCATAACCTTTTAGTAAATGGGTAAATATAGGATAGGAGCCCGTTGAAGGAGATGCATTTGTTCATACTATTGTTATCAAGATCTGAGGACCCCTGATCAGTCCTTTGGTCAGTCTAGTCTAAAGTAATATATTAGATTTGGTTATCATCAGTCACAAATAATGTTTAACTAGTTTGGCGAATCAGCCAATTTTGGCTGGTTTAGAAATGAAATTGGACCGACAGATGAAGTACCTAATGTTATGTTTGTTTACGCACTCCAGCAGCCCGCAACTGCATAGAGATTTGACTTCCTCGGTAAGCTAGACCTTACCTGGTAAGCTAGGCTGGCCCTATAGAAACTTGTATTCCCAAACAGACCAACTCATAAGTCATATTGACTAGGAGGGTAGTGGCAAGTGTATGCTAGAAAGCCAACAAGCAACAGATAGTGTAATGCTCGTCCGTTTGTTGGTTTGTTTTTTTACTTAGTATTATTGCGCTAATGCTCATCCGTTCGTTGGTTTGTTCTCATCCGTTCGTTGGTTTGTTTTTTTACTTAGTACTATTGCGCTAATGCTAATACTTTTTTTTTCCTTGCATTCATTGGTTTATTTTTTTACCCAGTAGTTATTTTTACACTCTTGACAAACGAGTAGGTGTAACTGTTGAGTTCTATGGTGGTGAACTCAACATGGTAGACGTGCCCAATTGGGTGAGGCACGCTCGCAGTGCGGACATATATACCTCATTTAGTCCCTCATTTGGAACATAAGTAACACATGCTTTCTCCGCCTTAGTAAATTGAGAATAGGGGTCACGCAAGAAAGCTACAGGGCAATTGGTTTGCTTACGGATTACTGAAATCAAAGGCAAATAAAATTGGAATTTATTTTGTAATATAGGTGATATTTTTTAATTATTATCCTAGTTTTTTCTTTACTTTTAAAATGTCATCCAACTGAATGGACCAGCAATTATAGTAGACTAGAACAAAGTCCTCACCGATTTGGTGGCCGCTCCAATGCTCTGATAACATTAGTTCAGGCCTCCTCACAGAGAAGAAGAAGAAGAGTGAGGAAACGCCCATTCAGTGCTGGAAATTGGTGGAGGTTCTCTGCGTAAGAAGGCCTGCTCATATGGAGGTAAGGGACCTTCTTTTGAAAGTCATGGAGGAAGGAGACTTGATGTCACCAGGAGGAACTCACAAGAGCCATGGTTTTTCTCATAATGTACTTTAACAAGTCATTGAAATCTGATGCTACTTATTTCTCAAAAAATTATGATGCTGCTTTGTCTTTCAAGAACATCCACAAAGAACTCTTTAGGCCTCAAAGCTCAATATGAATTGGGGTCTGTTTGATCTTTCGAATAAGTGTGCTGCTCCATACTCGACATGTTCGTTGATATCATCACGGCTGCTCGTATACTGCGGTCCTGTGCCACCTATGAATCACTCTGTCATGGAATGAGGCTGCACCTTTACCTCATTAAAAGTGGACAAGACACAGGCTTGTTCATTCACAATTGCCTCCTGCAAATGTATGTAAAATGTGGTAGCACGGGTGATGCTCACCAGTTCTTTCATCAGATGCCTCAAAGAAACACTTTCTCTTTTAACACATTGATTGAAGGCTACATAAAATCAAGTGACCTCAATTCTGCCATCCAAATATTCAACACAATGCCAATGAGGAACACTTTTACATGGAACTCCATTATTCATAGCCTCACAAAATGTGGGAGAGTTGCGGAAGGACGAGTACTTTACCAATCGATGCCTGAACGAGATCCATCTTCTTTGAATGCATTGATGAATGGGTTTTTATGCCATGGCCATCCAAAAGAAGCTCTAGATGTCTTCCAAGAGTCTCAGTCTATGACTGGCATGAGAAGTGACCCATTTGTATTGGCAACCATTCTCACTATTTGTTCTGAATTATTGGCTCTTTATCTCGGCAAGCAAGTTCACTCCCAAATCATAGCTGGTGGGCTCGTATTCGACTCTGTTTTGTCTAGCTCACTTGTTAACATGTACTCCAAGTGTAGAGAGATGGATGGTGCTTGTAGAGCTTTTGAAGCCATGATTGAACCAGATGAGTATGCGTTGACCGCCCTGATTTCAGGATATGCAAACTGTGGAAAATTAGATGAATCACGTCTATTGTTTGTCAGAGTGAGAAAACCCAGTTCTGTCATGTGGAATTCAATTATTGCCGGATGTGTTCGGAACAATAGGGAGAGAGAAGCTTTGCAGCTTTTCATAGATATGAAAAGAGAGGGGATGAAGCCTGAGGCTGCAACTTTCACCAGCTCATTGAGTGCATGTGCTTCCATGGGTGATCATAAACTTGGCCAAGAACTCCATGCCCATGCCTATAAAATGGGACTGGCCCATGACATTATAGTATCGAGCTCACTTGTCGATATGTACGCCAAGTCTGGACTGTCACAAAATGCATGCGTCCTCTTTAGCGAGCTTGATAAACCAGATACTGTGCTTCTCAATTCTATGATCACTGCTTACTCCAATTGTGGAAGAGTAGACATGGCCCTGCAAATTTTCAAAACCATGCCTAAAAGGAGCTTAATCTCTTGGAATGCTATGGTTGTTGGTTATAGCCAAAATGGTTATGCCATTGAAGCTTTAGAACTGTTCCACAAAATGCAAATTCTAGACTTGAGGATGGATGAAATCACTCTTGCAAGCGCATCGAGCTCTTGTGCCAAAGTCTGTTCTATATCTCTTGGCGAGCAAATACATGCTCGTGCCGTTGTAGTTGGTTTGGATCGAGATGCAATAATTGGGAGCTCTCTAATTGATCTTTACTGTAAATGTGGTGACATTGAGGATGCTCGCTGCCTGTTCGAGGGGCTACCCACATTCGATGAGGTCCCGTGGAATGCCATGATAACGGGTTATGCACATCACGGCTATGTATCTCAAGTTTTGCAATTGTTTTATGAGATGAGAAATATGGGAGTTAAGCCAAATGGGGTCACTTTTATTGGGGTGTTATCCAGTTGCAGCCATGGTGGGTTGGTAGATGAAGGAAGAAGATGGTATGATGTGATGAGATATGGTTATGGTATCGAGCCCGTAGCCGAGCATTACGCGTGCATGGTCGATATGTATGCTCGTGCCGGCTTATTGAAGGAGGCTGAAGATTTTATAGATGGGATGCCATTTGAGGCTGATGAGTTCATGTGGTCATCAGTTCTAAATGCTTGTAAGAACCATGGAGATGAGGCCCTTGCAAAGAAGGCTACAGAGAGGCTTTTGAGGATTAATCCTGGAAATTCAGGGGCATATGTTCAGCTCTCTGGTATGTATGCGGCTTGTGGGGAATGGGATAAAGCTGTAGAGGTAAGACGGATGATGCATGATAGCGGGATCAGAAAGAGCCCTGGTTTGAGTTGGATTAATAGTTTGAAGGAGATGAGTGTGTGATTCCTTCAGGGAGATCTCTCTCTCTCTCTCTCTCTCTCTCTCTCTCTTTTTCTTGCTCGTTCTTGTGTTATTAGGATCAAACCGGTTGCTGAACTAGTAAGGGGTTTGATATAGTCCAAATCAATCTGATCAAATCGGCTGGATCATTTTTAAAAATGTAAAGAAAAATAAGAATAATAGTTTAAAAATATGAAACATATTTTAAAAAAGTTGTTCAACTTGTTTGAGCTGTCAAAACCAACCAATCGAGCGGGTTAAACTGGTTAAAAAGTGATTTTGAGTTGTTTTATGCGAAACTAATTTTTACTTAAGATCGAACTCAATACACCAGTTGGTAATCCGAACAATGAAATATGCTAGTGATAACTATGGTAAATTGTTCACTAGGAAGAGGCTAATACCTGCAATCTGGGTTAAGGGCATTGGAATACCATCTATTGGGTCCCGAAATATCTTCAAGGAACCATAAATTGTATCGTACGTAACCATGCATTTGAAGGATAAAACAATGCCAATTGGTTATTGTGTTTTAAAGAAACACCCACATCTACTAGAGAATAGATCTTCACTTATGGTGGAGGTGTAGGTGCATGGAGACCCAAGAAACAAATGCAAATCTATATCTTCGGGCCCATGATGGAATGACGGACAACTACCTGATTTGAAATCTGACATATAAAACTGTTTGTGACTTCTTTATACCAAAAATGATTTCTTGGTATTCTTTTACTTAGCAATATAGACTACTCTACAAGCGATAGACAATTGTATGGATCAAATGCGTCTTGGGACCATGATGTAGATTATTTGACTACTTTGTAGTTAGCAGGACGGCGAAATATTTATACCCTCCACTTTCCTTTAGTTATTGATTTTTCTTAGAAAAATACCATTCTCTCTCGTGCACACACAAAGAACATTGCCAAATTCATGGCAAATCGAACTTCTTTCAATCCAATTCAGCAAAGATTAGAACCAAATCGATGCCAGTGCTCGTGACTATTGATTTAAAGGCAAATTACTGAGAACTGTTGTGGATTTAGATGAGCGTGCAACTCAAATTCAAAATATATCTCATCGACTTGGATATATCTTGGGAGTATGATCATCTGAACTTGATTGCATATTAGATGTTTTATCAGACTCGGGTTACTTTGACAAGAGGGAGACCATCTTGAACCTCTTAAGTCCAAAATGACATTGATGCGGAAAGGTGCCACATTTTTTTTATCTTTAGAGAATGCTCGTTTGATCCTTATTGTATCTTGGTTCTTTTACCAAAGGTGTTTTACATAGAAAAAACAACAAAGGCCATCTTGTATATAGGTATTGCATCGGTTCTGGTACAACCCCAATTCTGGATTGCCTCGGTTCTGGTTTAACCCCCCAGTTTTGATAGAGAATGGTATTGCCATGAATCTGGTACAACCCTAGTTTTGGTACAACATCTATCCTGGTTCTTGTGGTCTTAGTATATACAACGTCACTTCAATACAAACCCGGATTTGTATAAGGCTGGTTGGGTATAGCCCCGGTTTAATACAAGTGCAGTTCGATACAACCCTGATTAAGTTCAAATCTAGTGTAAGAATCAGTTATTTAAAAAATGCTAAGTCGGCAAGGAATCACCCGGTTCGACTCAAGAATCTGTTACCCCGTGCCGAATCTTTCAATAAATAGAAAATTGTCCAGGTCTAGGAGAGAATCAAATATTTTCTATAGTAAAATGGCGTTTTACTACAGTAAAGAGACCATTTTGCAACAGTAAAATACCAATTTACCAACTTACATCGGTTTTTGGTCGGTTCATTGTTTTTACACGTATTTTTTTTCGATTCACTATTTTTTCCGTACAATAAAACAACAATATGGATCTGCCAATTCACCAATCCAGAATGATTTTTGCAAGGCCCAGCTCAAGTCACATATCTATCTTTTAAATCACTGATAAAAACAGATCCGATCCAAGTACAGCCCGAGTAAAAGAAAAATTAACCACGATTTTAGGCAAAACTCAGCCTATTCTGTAAAGCCGATGCTTGCCAACGTCTAATGAAAAAACTTTTGGAAAGTTTGCATGCAGAAGAAGAGAAGAATATTATCCTCACAAATATTTTTAAATTATATTTATTGCTCTCTATCTCTCTCTAGAACTAAAAACCACTCTTAAAGTGCTCTCTCTCTCTCAACTGGAAGAATCAAATACCAATCTCAAAGCTAGACGGATCTCTCTCTCAAGCAACTATAAAAATCTAATACCACTCTTAAAGTTCTCTCTCTCATAAAAATCAAATACCACTATTAAAGCTCTCTCTCTCTCATACTTTTGAATACATGCTTTAGAAAGTGGTATGCAATGCATAATTTTATTGCTTCTGTTTCTTTATCCACAACTAAGTGGACGATCCTCTCTCTTTCTCTAACCCGGGTTCGTAGACTAATCAATTACAATCGGCCATGTGTTCTTCCCAAGAGAAAAAAAAAAATAAGGCCGCAAAAATAGACTTAGGGTTTTAAAAAGGGTGTGGTATCTATAAGGTTGCAACTTTAAATAATCCAAATAAGGCCCACCTCCAAATTTTATTATAACATGTAATTTTGGTTCGAATTTTTTTAAGATTATCTCAGTATAAAATTTTAAACTCCAAAAATGGTTAAAATCAATTGATTTATAAACATATGAATATCTTGAAAATGGACGATATGTTGCAAGATACACTATTTCAAGAATTCAAATTTTTATTTTTTTTCATATTCATACAACTCGTTGTCGAGATGATCAATTAGAGGATTTTTCAACATTAAAACAACATCTCCCAATGGATTTTTGAGGTGCATATGTATTTCTATACTTTAAGGTTACAACCTTATATAAACTTTTTCCTTCAAAATATCGCCGATTTAGATCTGAATTGGAATTAGTGCATCATAGTTAAACGAACTTTATTAAAGTATACTTAATTTTTGAGAAATTATCGCTAATATACCGATATTTTTAAAAAATTAGAAAAAAAAAAAAACCCCAACTTCTCAAAACCTCGCCCACACCCTTTTTTTCTATTTTCGCGTAATTTTGGACAAAACTACCTCTTACGGTAGTCTTTGTACCGTAATAAGAATTACGGTATTAAAAACACTGTAATGTTTAATTTACGGTACTATGAGTACTGTGTTGTTCTTACAATATATTACGGTACTACTAGTACCGTAATTCTTCAAAAGCTTTTATGGTACTACGGGTACCATAATAAGGGTAGGGTATTTTACTTAAGAAATTACGGTACTCCTAGTACCGTAATCGTTTCCCGCTTTTTTTTTTCTTGAATTTTTCATAAAACCCTATTTTGACGAATTGTTAATCACTTTCACACTTTTTTTTATCTCTATCATCCATTCTCTCATCTATTTTCTATCATATCATCACTATTTATCAATCTTTGAAGGAGGTCCATAAGTAGATCAAATTTACAGACCAACTGATTTTTAGGTATGTCATCCAAATATCATGTTATTTTGAGCATAAAACAATTATTATGTTGCATAAATAAGTTTGAGATTTATTTATATTGTTTGCATAAATAAATTTTAGCTTTATTTAATGGTTGGCCATCAAAATAATGTTTTCCAATTCTATTTTTATATTATGACAATTGTAGCTTGGCCATCAAAAAAATACTTGATGTAGTTTGGATGCCCATTGTAATTTTTTTTTATATTATGAAAATTGTATTGTAATCTAATGTCCTTCATGCAACCTCCTCACTTTATGTAAGTATTTTGAATTTCTTGTAAGTATTTTTTTTATGTTTCCATCTGAAATTTCTATGCAGTGATTCAACTTGTACACATCAATAATTGGTGAAAACAAAGTGAAAATTGTTTTACACTTTGGTGGATTTTTCAGAAGGAAACCTAATGGAAGTATTTTTTATGACAGTGGAGACGTAAAGGTTAAATTTTTTAAGGCGATCCCGTCATTTGAACAAGTCAAGGAGATCAACCCCGACAACAAGAACTGGAACGGATTATTTGACTTGATCAAGTTGTCCCATGGGTCAACCTTCAACGAAGTAGGGTTACGACCTAGCTATAGAGCAGGCTTGTGAACTAGGGACCCCACTTGTCAAAAGTATCAAATTATGTCTCAAGTACCATGATTATTAAGTATATTGACCCAAGGTTATCAAGTAATATGATACGTATTAATGATGATGACGACATTGCCAATATGATGGAAGGGGCTTCTCCCATTGCTATGTACGTCTCAAACAGACCTATTGACTCTGACTATACTGAATATCAACCACCAACAATGCCCGATATTGGTCCGTCTGACTGCATTGAATATCGACCACCAACAATACCCGATAATGATCCATCAAGATTGGTCATGTAAGAAGTTTGTAATGGAAATCATAAATTTTCTTATTAGTCAATTTTTTGTTATGAGTTAAGATAATTCAAACTTGTCTTTTTTTTTTTTCTACATCACATCCGGACCAGAGCAAGTAGGTCACAGTGAATGTGCTACTGGTATAAGCATACAAGATGAGCATGAATCAAAAATCGAGCGGCATATGGACGACATTGATCTGATAGAAAGCCCCCTGAGGATTAACAGTTATGAAGTTGTACTTCAAGATGGTCAGGATTTTGATAACATACAGGTATGTTGTAATCATCTTATTGATTATGCCATATCACAAAACTTCAATTTGAAGTTCAGAAAAAGTGATGGGAGACGTATATGTCCAAAGTGTGATGCAGATGGTTGTTCATGGCAAGTGCGTTGTTGGAGGATTAATACAACAAACTTGATCAGGTTGAAAGAATTGATAAACACGCTCTCATGTGCTGGAAAAATAGGTAGGATTCATCGGCCACTTGCTCGAAGCGACTGGGTGGTAAGCAAGTTCAAAGATCGATTGAGTGATATGCCCAATCATACACCTAGGGATGTGGTTAATGACATACAGCGTGATCACGGTGTCATGTTATCG